CTGAATTATAAATATGGAGATAATCGCATCGTGAGATTAAAATGGGTCACAGTGTATACGCATGCGATATCGACCGAGTACTTGCGAGAAGAAGGACGTTACATTGGGATGCCGTGGCACCTATCGACGGATCCTCGAACATCCCAGGACGCAACATTAAACATTAATTCTGTAATTAGTATAATAATAAAATTTACTTGCAAACTGCGGTCTGCATTAATCTAGCATATTTTTCAGTGCAAAAAATAAAAGAGAAGTCACTAAGTTATTCTGAACGCATTCGCTATCTATGATTATCGATCTAAACCTAAGGTGATTAAAAAAAAAATGGTCGTCCAACGTTATCGTGCAACCACCGCCACTTGGACACGATATGCACAGGTTTCCATGCGTCAGACGCATCTAATCCGAATTTCTAATATTTTCTAACGTTAAAGTCAAACTTCCACTGAATTTCCTTAATCTATCACCTACAATTAAACGCTCTATATAACGAGTACACCTTCTTACCGATTACGAAAAAATAGTTTTGAAGGGATCGAGTTACTCTGAATGCGGTAACTATTTATAATCATCGAGGTGGCCCTACAGTGAGTTAAGAACAATGGCAAAATGGTCAAGATATCCACGTCTTGAATGCTGGTCCATGTCGTAACGAAGAGAACGAGGTGTCATCTAATTATCCTATTATCGTTCCCTGCAGCGGGTATGCGAATCGCTGGGTGTCACATGGCTGAATCTATTGGAGGTACAGCGACGCGCTTAACTATCAGGGGTTGGAAACGTCGCGTTAAGTAGCGCCGCGCAGTCCGGTAATAAATTCCAACTTGGCGCGAATCCACGGGTACGTGGACATGTTGCTCTTGTTGCATATCTCGGCGACCAATGAAGTGGCGAAATCTAATTTCGTCGAAAGATCAGCCTCGATGCAGCGAATATAGAGACATCTCTCTGAGCAGAATTATGGATAACTCGGTTAGGCAGTAATTATGTAGTCGACGTACAAGTGGCGAAGGTGGAGGATGGAGGAAGGCAGTGATCGGACAAGGAAATCGCGTTCAATTTTTTCTAGATAGGTACATTTTTAAAGGTCTACACTCTAAGAAAATTTATATTAGAATACATCCTTGAAGTATGTCTTACCACATACGTACGTTTATGTATTGTTTTTTAAGCGTATCTATCTTCGTTGAGTTTCTGACTTGACCCAAACTCGGACACATTTCTCAATCTCGTAGAGTATAAAATACCCCTTTAACATTGTCGAGGGTAGTTTTTCCCTTCCACTTGTTTACCAGGTTTCACAAAAATCAGAGTGTCACGATTAGATGATGATTCTCGTCAGTCTGAATGACACTGCGTTTAAGTTGGAAACGAAGTAACGAAAGCGTTGTTCGATAAATAATTATGAAGGAAAAGCGCGCGTAGTGGGGATATAGCCACGCGGTATATGCCTAGCCGGTCGCGACGCGGCGGGCAGAGTTGCGTGGGCAGTGGCACGCAGAAGCGGAGAGGCTGCGAGTAACGTAGGGTTGCGCACGTGTGCATGCGTGTGCCAGGGTAAACGAAAGTGTGGAAGAGGGTGCAACATGGTAAATAGAGGAAAAAAGAAAAGGCGAGTTTGAAAGAGCGCCTGCTCGAACCTAGCCGCGTGTGTTTAACTCACTCTCTCCCACTTCCGTCGGCCGCAACACCGGTTCACCTCTCTCTGCATGTTGCTCAGATCGATTCCCCTCTTTCTCCCTCGCACCCACGATTTCTCTCCTCATTTCCCTCATCTGCATCCTACCCCTGTCCCTTCGCGAACGTACACACCGCACGCACACCATGATAACACCCATGTGCGACTACTCACCCGTTCATCCTGATGGCAGATCTCCACGTCGACGGTGCCTCCGTTGCCGGTGCTAGGTTAAACGAACTCCCGCGTTCCACGGTCCCCGGTACGTGCAACCGTATTCCAGTCGGTGGTCCACCGACAACACGAGGACTCACCGAAAACAACAGGTTGCATGCGATAGCGGCACAAATATGGCGGCGAAAAAAATGACGGTGCACCCGGCGCGACGAGAACCACGGCTGCTCGCGTCTACACGCGATCCCTGGGGCTTTTGTCTCGTTTCGTGTCTCTTTCCCGATTTCTACGCGTGCAGGTTGCGTGTACGTGTCGAGATTAAGGTAACCTTTTAAGTTGACACGTCCAGCAATGGTGTGGCTGGTATTTTATCTCTTTTTGATTGCTTCTCGACCAAATTGATTCCTCTGTCCTTTGGGCAACGGCGATTTGACAGTCACCGTCGACGAGCACACCGAATCGTACCGCACTCGGATATTGCTGCACTATTATGCCGTCACCGCCTCGATCGACGTAAACGTTCGAAACGATGCGGATTATGGTTCCTCGTGAGGGCACACGCGATTCCTTTTCCAGCGATGCACCACGAGAAGGGAAACTCGTGCGTGTGACAGTTAGACGGAGAGAAAGAAAAAGGAGATCCGGGCGAACACTGGTCAGACGCACGCTAAATCATCCTCGCGAACGATAGAAGACACTCGCTGCCACTTTTGGCCTGATAGAATTTCGCGAGACAGATGCACTGTGTCTGGTGCAGCCAGTTGGGTATGCTCTCGCCACCTTGCGAAACTTGGGTGCACTTGTTCGAAGAACTGCAGCTTGGGACGGTTAGGTGGTCTGTATCGTTTGATTTGCGTTAGGCCTGAGTTAGGAGCTTCCTTATCGTTTCAATGACATCGATTAAAACAGAATATAATGTCAGCGCTCCTGACGGTATCGTTTGAAACAGCAAAAAATATTCTCAGAGTTACCTACATATTAACAATTTTCTAAATTTTCATCGTAGTTACAGGTGTAGGATAAACAAACAATTTTATGGGAGTTAGTGTCTCAAAGACCAAAGTCACCAATAATTTCAGATGCTTCCAGTCATATACAAGACAATTGAAAATTTTTCAATAAATTCTTTGACACGTGTACGTTCATATATCGCTAAAGACTCCAAGATCGAAAAATGTTGTTTTAAAGGTTGAAAAGGGTTACAAAGTATTACTACCAATGAACCATGTTCAAAGTACTTTAAACATATAATATATTCATTTGTATGCTTGTACATATCTCGTATTTATTTGATACAACAAAATATCTATGAGAACAGTACAGTAAAGAACAGTGTACAACATACAGTATTCCCCTGAAAGGTGTCTGCTAGCGATCGGCGATGGATGTTTAGTGATATAACAGTTTCGGCAGACCAAACATCTTTCAAGTAATTACTGTATAATCATATCAATAATTCATTCATAATTTCGAGATGCAAGACAGCCTCATTCTCTTAAGTCGTAACGGTATCGGGTTGTGATTGCATAAAATACATGTAGGTATGTACTCTTCTTGATTACTCTGATGTCCAGTCTTTCGGTAGAACTTTTGCATCGGTTTATCCCGCATCTAGTGGGCTAGATTTACATTCAAATCGCTTTAGATTTGAAAAGAAATATGTCATATTATTCGTATTCGATGTTATCTGTAACACCTCAATATGAGCTTTTCTCTAATACTGTTAGACCTTCGTATAGTAACACAACAAAGTATTATTGACCAATTATCATGAGAAAGGGAAAACTATCGGCTAGTCGTAAACGATTTCTCACGACAATCTTACGCAATTACAAACAGATCTTTAAAGGAACGTGACAATCTGTGTGATTCTTGTCTTGAAACGAAAGCAAGGAGAGAGTTGCATATTACTTCTTAAACGAGTAGATTCGGATATTATACGTTGTAAAGTAGGCCAATCGGTTAAACCGGCAAACCAGGCGCCTCCACATACATCACGGAGCGATTTTGTTCATTAAATCTTTAACAAGAGAGAATATCCGTTAGTGAAAAAATATCCTATTTACACGTAAGGTATCTAGTTGTGCGTCGATTCATTAATTCGCCGTTGGAGTGTATCAAAATCTACTTAAAGGGTTAATAAAAGATTCGTGCAGCCGTTATTTACAGAATTGTCCGATTTCAGATGTAAACATGCGTGTATAATTTCGGCTGGAAGATTCGAAATATGGTAAAAATTGACGAATTTACAAAGAAATTTGATCCGTCGGAGGATGAAGTTATCGGCTCGATCGAATACACGTGAAAAGTGGCGTAAACCTCGAAAAGAATTCTACTTCCCCAAGGGAAATTCAAGTTGCAAGCATCGTCGGCAGTTTGTCGGTAGATCATGTATAAATATCGATCGAGTACTCTGTACTCTAGCGTGAGAGCTAATCGTGATGGTGAATGTTTCTTTTCTCTGAGTGGTTCGTTTTTTAATGAGAGCGATGGCAACACTCGAGGTTCGATATTCGTGAGATTCGGCAGACTACTACTATGTATCATAGAAACAGCAAGATGACAGAGAAGCAAAAAAATAGCTCTCAGAAAATAATAATCTAAACGCGATAGCTCGACATATTTTGCATTACCAACAGAAATTTTATTTCTGTGTCTAGAAGATCGTGTTCGCTAAATTAACTTTTCGAATCCTTTTGTGATACTTGTCCGCTATATCGTTGCAACTTTATTGTCAATTGATAATTAGAAGAACCGAGAAAGCAACTTTGCCGAAATCGCACGAATATTTTTTACCCAAGGCCAGTTCAAACATGGCATTAATGTGTCTTATCTGCATCTAGATACCTTTTGTAATACATCCGATCACACAGGGCACACAACTCTCTTACGCTAATATGTACACACCATACAAAGCATCACAAGATTACATACATAAATTTATACACTTTTTCATAATAAAATATCCGATTCTCTATTATGTTACTTCACACGGAGAATGATCAGCTCCACGCGAGACGTGTCCCGCGCCTCCAGCAATCTGCAGCAACATTAATACATAATAGACGGTACATCAATCTGTTGCGATTATTTTGAGGGCGTACAATCCTCGGAAGATGTTTCCTTCTTCTTCTTCTTCTTCTTCTTCTTTTCTTTTTTTTTTCTTTATTCGAGACCACTTTCTGTTTGTGTGATTAGTATTTCTCGAGAGGAATCAGTTGAGAGACCAGAATTCCGTTTGACCAAGACTCGGCCGATTTAACCTGTCAAACTTCCCTAACGTTGATATGCTACTTTTAATAACTGACCGTTTGCACAATCGACTTTGGGCATTTTCTATCATAACTTGATTAACTCTAACGCAATTTATCGTCGTTTCCTGATTTTATATACAGCAAATCACACTGTGTGCCTTAGGAGCAACCAAAGAACTTTTAGGTACTGTATTTGCAATGATTCGATATCGATGACCAAATATTTTTAATCGCTCGATTTTCTGTGACTGTACAATTGATATTTATCATCGCATATAATTATTAAAGAAATGAAAATTTGGTTGTGTACAAACTACGTTACGGCTACTCCTTCTACAGACCATATTGCTGATTCGTGGCATACGTAAGTAGCATTTCTTCTTCAATGTTCAGCAGGCCCATTTCATTCTGTTTAATTAATGTACTGGATGGATCAGAAATGGAGCTTGGGTATCACGCGGAGACGACTATGGTCACTCCTTGTAATAAAGTACAGTATATTTGGGAGACTAAGGTGGCAACGTTATCTTTTCCTGCATCGTTGGCCCGTTTTCCGGAAAACGCTGGGTTACCGACTATCCTAGGAACAACGTTGTCTCTTTTCTCTCTATAATTTCTTTCTTTATACATAGTAGTCCAATTTGCACGCACTGCGTGCATAGAAAATAAATACTTTCGAAAGTGCGTATAAATCGGTATATAATGTGTTACATACAAACAATTCGGCTCTGTTTTGATGCGTCGAAAGATTCTTTCCAGCTGGCAACTTTTTTGACAATTTTTCGCGAGATTAATACGTTTTTTTCCACGATGAAAATAATCTTTCGACGCGCGTGGCGGAAATGGGTCGTTTTTGATCTGCGAATTATATCTAAGTGGTAAATAAATGATTCAATTACCTCGTGTGTAGTAACGAAAATCTTACTTTTTCGTGGGATGCATCACGTGACCGTTGCGGGTATCATACCTCGATAAAAACCATTAGAAAAGTAAACATTGTCACGGAATGACTGAATGATAATTTCGCGTCATTTTTGTCCCATTCCCGGCGAGCAAGGGGTTAACTCGTGTACCCGAAATAGTTTATTAACCATCGGTCAACGACTTCAGCGTTCTCTTTCACCCAATGTATATTAAACTTGATTGTTTCTAGGCTTTGTTCTAATGCTCGTTTTCCACTTCCGACATCTACTTTCTTAAAGAACTCCGACACCTAAGGTACCACATCAAACATATTATTAGACCGAAAACGTTGCCAACATATTTTTGAAATAACGCGAAAAATAGTATCGCGTCACTTGATTTTCTTTGCACTTTTGTCAATTAAGTAACGGCATCGATTAATCTGTGGATAAAAGTTAAACAACTACTTTCAACTTACTTCGTGGTAATCGTACTCTGTGAAGAAATCAGAAATGACGACAGATATTAGTCCACCCATTGTAAGGGATCCGTTTCCGAATAGAGCATGTATTTCCGGCCAATACGCTTTCAGATGGCGCCAAGCGAGAAACTGACCGTCGACGTTGCTAGCAACGGAGGCTATAACAGTTTCGACGTCTTGCGATCTCACAATATCTCGGTTTAACGAATGTAGAAGGTAACGCTGTAGCAACCAACTATCCGTCGTCGCTCCAAGCGCTTGCAACATTATCCTTTTTTCACTAGGTACTTGAGTTTTTTGATAATACTCCCAACAATAGTCCCATTCTTTCTCACCACCAACTTTGATTCCTGTGTACAGACGTATCTGATACTTTACTTTACTTTAAGGAAAGGAAGAAAGGAACGATACATATCGTTACATATCGTTACCTGCAACGTATACGACGTCCCGTATGTAAGGTGCGATTGTATCGCCTCTCGACATCCAATTCTGAAAACGGTATTTCGCTTGATTCACAACCTCGGGCAGGTTTACAGACACCGCTGATTGAAGCACGGCAATTCTCAGAAGTCTATAAACGAAAATATAATAACAAACGAAAAATGACAATATTTTCCCCTTGTTTTAAATAGACACCCACTTTTTTAAATGAGATCCTTCGTCTCCCCAACTGACGGAGCTTACAACCGGCGTCAACAATTTTTTGAAGAATGTAACGTATCTCTTGTATCCGGGACTTCCGCTTAATCTTCCTTTCCAGGAGTGTAAGTATCCGAGAGCCGTTGCCCATGGTATGTAATCCGTTTCCTTTAGAAGATAAAGTGACAACTCGAGAGGTATGGTGGCGTTTAGCTCACCTGCCTCGCAAAGTGTAAACACATCGTCGATAAGATTAGCACGGTCCGCCGGACTGAATTTCGTGTGATCGTTCTTCAAAGTTTCAAGGATCGCCGACCACATTTCCATAGGATAGGTTACACGGTAAAATCCATTTTGATTCACGTTGCATTTTATGTATTCGACGTCGTTAGGTATCTCGAATGTTACTAAAAATACGTGATACTCTTATCATATAAAGCGTAACAGAATTAATATATTATCAGCCAATAATATCATTCGTCTATATAAATCAATTATTTGTGGAACTTGTTCCAAATTATTAGTGAATTATTCTTCGATCAAATGTAATATGAACATCGACTTTAATTACTTGGACGTCTAACGTATTTTTCTATTAGTCTGAAGTAAATGATAACTAAGCCTTAGTAAACATTGATAAAGAGAAGGAAATTATTGACCAATAATTACAGAGATAGCGAACGTTTGTTTAATCATTAGAGCACTGCAGAAAGCACTGCAAAAAGATTTCGTTATAATTGTCCTATATGTTACCATCGGTTAAATTCATCCACACGTTGTGAAGGTTGCGCGGTTCTCTGTCTGTGTAGTAGGTCAACGGGACGTACCACTTGTAGTCAAAGGGCGATTTTGGTTGTAACGATTCTGTATCATTTTCTTTTGGCGAGATTAAGAATCTTTTCTGGGTTGCCGTGATTGTGTTTCCATCACGTGTAATCGTGATTAGTGGAAAACCCATCTGCTGGGTCCACGTATCCATGATAGCCTGCCAACACATATTTTCGTTAAACACTGGGACTTACTACCGCGATAAACTCGTTAAATAATAATACTATTTCAATTTTAGGGCTAGAGAAAAGTTTTCAATAGGAATAGCATATTTTCAATGGTAACATTGCGAGGTACAATTTCTTTTTTTTTTTTTTTTACATGGATGCGACAAGGACACGTTAAAGTCCTTGTATAAAAAAAATCATAATAATTGTGTAGGAAGAGGTTAGTTGAAAAGCAATTTTTTATAGGTATTATAGATAAAAAGAGCCACGCGTTGTCTACGTTAATACGTACCTTCACGTCAAAAGTGTGGTTTGCATGCTTGGTGAAAACTGCCCAAAGGTCGTTCGTGTCGGCGTTCCTATACGCGTGGATGTTCAAGTACTCGTTCAATCCACTTTTGAGAACGTCTTCACAGAGAAAACCTTCGAGCATGTTGAGAATGGAAGCTCCTTTACTGTAACTGATTTCGTCGAAAATGGCTTCTATTTCGTTAGGATCTTTCACGGATACACTTATGGGGTGGCTGGTGGTTAAAGCATCGAGATGTAAAGCTGGTTGAGTCTTGTCTAAAATAAACTGACCCATCATGCTCCATTCGGGTGAGATGTGATTTACTCCTTTGTATTCGAAGAAACTGGCTGCTCCTTCGTTTAACCAGAGATCATTCCACCATTTCATAGTGACCAGGTTGCCGAACCATTGATGGGCTATTTCGTGGGCCACAACCACCGCCACCCATTCGTGGGCTTTCGTTGACGTCTCTTTCGGATCATAGAGTATAGACGTTTCTCGATAGGTGATTAGGCCCCAATTTTCCATTGCCCCAGCAGCAAAGTCAGGAATAGCTATCAAGTCTGGTGAAAGACAATGAAATCAACGATTTATTGGTATAATAAATGTTTTAAATTATACCATTAATTTAATATAGAACTGAATTTTATTAGATACCTTGCTTGGGCAATGGATAATGGACTCCGAAAAAAGCTTCAAAGTAATCCATTGTACGAGCAGCAGTGTTTACAGCATATCCGGCCTGCGAAAGCATAGCCTCCGCAGCGTAAACGCTTACAGTGATGTTCCTCTTTGTCGATACGAACACCCGCTTGAAATCGCACACCACAAAAGCCACCAAGTACGTTGACATTTCAACAGACTCTTGGAAGTCGTCGCGAAGCTGAGAATATTTCATTTGGCATGAATTAGTTGGTCGTTAATTTATTTGTCGAGGTAAAAATAACAACGCGCAATAATTAGCGCATTGTACGCGTGATTGCTCATTTCAATCTTTACACACAATTAACAAAACTTTGAAATTATTATTATCAAGTTCTGACTACAGCAACGTATTGCTCATAGTTCCCGCCAGAAATGACATTCTAGTTCCTACCTTGCGTGCTGTGCGTTACGATACAACACCGTAACTGTTAAATGACCAGTGGTAATTTTAACTGGAAATATATTTCTCGTGTAAAAAATATTTGAAAATTTTCTTCGGTCTAGTCAAGAGAACGCAACCTAACGCAAACCTAATCCCTTAATAAAATTGTAGCGCATATACATGTTTCGTACTCACAAGTCCCGTTCCCATGTAAAATCCCGCGTCTTCGGTGTTCATGACAGGCATATTACATAACGCAATATGAAACCTATCCCTGAATATCGAAAGTTTAAATTTAGCTTTGAATTGTGGTTCATCAAAGCATGGAAACGCTGAACGTGCGTATGTCGGTTCAAAGTGAGTAGTAGCCAAGTACCTAAAGTTGAAACATGTTCGGTCAGAAGCTTTTTCAAAACGAAGCTACGCCTTGTGTTATTTTGCAAACAGAAAATTATTACAGTTTCAGAGTGACCTCTTTTCTCCTTCTCGGGTAACGTAGCTGCTAAGATAGAATCCTTCGAGCTCACTCGTGAGATTCGAGATGAACCTTAGGTGTACCGAGTAGTATCCCTTTTTTCGAAATTTACTTTCCTCCAGTTCTAAGTATAGTTGCTGGTGTTTCGGGTATTCTAGGAGCTTTGCAATTTTTAATCTATGGCCTTTGCGGTCTTGAACCATCTGGAAAGCAAATTTCAAATTGTTCATTGTAAATTTTATACGTTGTAAACGTGTACGAAGCGTAATAAGTATATGAATGTATGTACAGCTATGTCCCAATTTACGGTATAACCTAAATAATTCTTTTCAATATGGCGTCGCAAGCAAGGACCACATCTATTATTCCAACAGCCGATAAGTAACCCCATTCGCGCATCGATTCAATCGAACAACTTCTAACGTTGTTTAAATTTTTTCAAATAATTTTCGGAAACACTTACTTTTTCATTTATTGTCAAATTTTTGCTATGGAAGACTATATAATTGGTCTCTTTATCGACATAGAACTCGATTGTGACCTGACCTGGAAAATAATAATTCAAAATTATTTCCATTGCATCTACATTTTGATACTACTTACAGGTTGACAATGATACATAAGACAAAAGTAATTTCTCCTTAAAAAATGTTTATTTTCCAATTTGAAAATAATGTTTATTTCTCTCAATGGAATTTCTTTTTTTTTCTTTTTTTTTTTGTTAAGCAAAGTTACCACTTAACAAAGTTATTAATAAAGCAAAAATCTATTACCTTTTACTTCTAAGGTGGTAAGATTTGGATGGATGTTGATGATGTACCTGGTTGGATGCGCAAACTTAGGTAGTCTGACATTATTCCAAGGGAACACCTGAAATTTCATCCTCCAGATTAGTATAAATGTTATACTGTTTAAATAAAAAGCATAGAGAATCTCTTATTATTTGTTATCTTTCACAATCTCTGTGATTAGCCCCCTGTGCTATTTAACTGTAGCAAAAATGACGTTGATATCTTCATTAATTTCCGAGAAAACAGCTTGTCACTCTTTATACGGAACACACAGTATATCCAACAAAACAAACATAAATGAACGTACCTCTCCATTAGTCGCAAGAGGCACACTGCTTTTCTCATCGTCCTCGATTTCCAGGTTGGCTGGCTTCTCTCCAGCACAGGGGCAGTCTGCAAAAATTAAATGCAAAAACATTGAAACGCAAGTATGATTTTTGTAAAAAACGAATAATAATGAAAATTATAGATTCAAGAAATGTATGTAAATAGCAATGTTATTCTTAACCCTTTGTTGTCCAGAATTTATAATATTTGTCGATCTTCGGTCGACATAGAACAACAAAATAACAGGTTAATGTAGAGTTAAAGTAAATGATTCAAAAGTACCATTCTGTGGTCCCGCGAAGGCAATGATGAGTGATACAGCGAATAAGATCGCAAATACAACGGTGACGATGCAGAGAGCCCTTTTCTGAGAACACACAACTCCATTGTGCTCATAAATACTACGTTTGTGCAATCCTGTGTTGCTATCTCCTGGAACAAAGGGTCTCCTGGAGAATGATCAGTGTATATCAGGTGTACACATATTTGTATTACATGAACGGATATATGTACATTCTGAATTTGTACGAATTTCTTTTTTTATTAATATATATTATTTTACTTCTAAGTTGTTCTCAATTAACTTAAACAGTCATGTACAATGTGACCTATATAATTTTAATATATATGGTATTATTTATACTCTGATTTTATAGTCAGTATTTAAAATTAATTTATTTTATATAGGTGTTTTGGTCAGATAAAAAAACAACACTTCCGAGTTCTAAAATTATTTAAAGGTCGTGTCACTAGATGTGTTGCTCCTATATGTCAATATAAAATATTATACAAAAGTTGATCGTGTTATTACTATATAACGATAACGTAAACGAAAAATGAAGTAAATTTCTTCGTTATTTTCTACTCAGTCAGCTTGTAATATTTTATTTCGTGACATCCAATATGTCAACACAAAATATTACACACAAGTTCATTGTGTTATCATTGTATAACGTAAACAAGATGCGACACACTCCAATTGCTATTAATAAAGCCTCGATAGTTTGACCCAAGAACAATAACACAAGACACATGTACATAGGTGGGGAAATAAGCGGGTTAGCCTGCTTTAATTTGAAAGATCAAAAGCGTCTCTCTTATTGATCGTACCCACGTGCTTCTCGTATAGTCTATTCGCAGCCCGGAGGGTTGTAAGTGGGCCATCTGGTCGAACGATTCCACAAGAAAATGAGAGAATCATGTGCAGGGGAAAAAGAGAAGGAAACGCAAGAAGTAACCCAAAAGACACACGGAAGAAAAGAAAAAATGGGCCACGCGAAAAGACACCGGAGAAAAATTCGGTCGAGAAGAGGAGAACAGGACAATGAGGTGAATAAGAAAGGGGCAGCAGGAAAATGAAGTCAAGGAGAGCAAACATCAGGGCATCGAAGTTGAGAAGAGAAATGTTCCATGGAAAGCAAAGTCAGGTGCAGAGAAAAACAAAAAAGAAAAAATGATGTCAAGTAGGGAGAAGAGCGGGGAAATGATGTCAAGAAGGGAAAATCCAAGCTCGAGTGAAGCACTAGGGGCTAACGTTAAATAGGTCAGAGTCGACAGCGGGAGACCTCGAATAATTTAACCTGCCCCTTCCAAATTATCTCACCTGTCAAAAAAGCAACGTCATCCACATCTTGCTCGCTCATCGCGAACCGATTCGGCGGTGGTCTCCGACGAACGATTTCTTTTACCTGACCGTCGTCCGTAGCATATAAGATTTTGATTAGGGGCTCTCTCTGCTCAGCCAGAATTTCAGCTGCCGTGCTTGTGGCTACCTGCTCCGTCTAGTTACTTTCCCTGGCAGAACCTATCTGTGCCAAGGTCAATGAATCGCCCAGGAGGATTCACGGACTCGCCTGCGTCCAACCCTTAATCGAACCCTTATCGAAGCCTTCGTGCTTTGTTTCCCCTCGTTGGAACTTGGTGGCTCGTTCAACGTTTGATCGGCGGAACAGAGCTTGATCGAGGACTTACGGCAACGGCGGTTTCAAGAGCACCGATCACCAGCACAAACAGGGGCACGGGCACAGGCACGAGCACCAACAGGAGCACGAGCACGACCACTGCCACGACCACTGCCACGATCACAATCACAACCACGACCACGACCAGCTCCACGAGCACGAGCAGAAGCAGGAACTCGACGACTCTGGACAACGTGGCACAAAGACTCACAAAGACACCGAACAGCTGGACAATGCCGACAAGTCTGTAACCCGCGACGTGCCTTGACATTTCATTAGCATTGAAGGGTAGATATAGCGACTGCAGAGTCAGGCAGACATGGCGACTTTCCAAACCCCTTGGCGGTGAGTCGCTTCACGGGGGTGGATTCGCAACCCTCGCCACACCGTGCTACGTCTCGCCTCGCCTTGCAGCGGAGGTGGTTGGCTTCACTGTGGCGCCATCCGTGACCCACTCTTTGCAATCGCTGCACCCTCCAATTCCTACTTCCGTTTCCTCATTGGGGTTGGTAAGAAAATTTTCTACCCGATTATTATACTTTTGCGGTTTTTATAGAGTGTAGAAATTCCTTCCGTGCCTTTACATTCATCCGTTTATGACTGCAGTTTGAGTAAACATTTACTCATCATCTTGTTACGTTGAATTATCAGCCTTCCAAAATCTCAATCTGATTTCACATCGATTACGATATGATATAGATTACGAAAAATCTATACGTAACCTAAGTCTCAATCTGACGGACGTTACGATTTATCTATACATTCCAAGTTGAATGGTCCACGAAATATTAGGTGTAGGAATTAATTTTGCGTCTTTATATAATTATTTATAACTCTAGTTTAAATAGAAATATTTCCTGGCCTGATTTGTTGGATACCAACGAAGATATCACTTCATTTCTCGGTTTCGTTATTGTTATACAGAAAAAAAAAGTGAACAGCGATTTAACAACTTGTGTCCAGGGTTAGTCTTTTTGTACCATTTGACTAGCATTAATAATAACGTATACCTCGTCCCCGTGTTGACCTACTCTCCTCTAGAAGCAGCAAATATGTGATGATTAAATAATAAGGAGTGCGGAATAGGGTGATATAAAATCGATATTTTTCATAAAAAAATTCGTATACGTATATAAAAATGTAACGAATGTACCGTCAAGATTGAAATTAGTCGTTTCTTAGTATTTCTCAAGGTTTGTACATTATTTTTTATGCACGCTAGTATTATATTTTACAATCGAGTAGGGTAACCGCGTAAACATTTCCGGATCGGTCAAGTTTGTACACGTTATTTCTGTGGGTATTAATTTCGAGTCTGATCAATATCTATACAATAGGGGCATTTATAAATATCTGAACTTTTGAACTACTGACCTCTGCTGTTCCAGCGTAGGTTTGTTTCCGTCACAGAAACCTGTCTGATTTTCAATTGAAACTATCCTAACACCCCTTTGTGTAGCTTACAAAAATATGTAGCTTTTTTCGTGTGACGGTCCCTTATAGGAGGGAAGGCACTTTTTTTTATTAAAGTTTTATAGTGGAATCGATCAAGTTGAATGAAAATATTTACTGTATCAATATAATCTCTTTGGGCCCAAAAGAAGAGACGATGGCACATTCGGTACCGTCCCTAGGGCCGCGTTCAATGGCGGTTGCGTACTTCTATTGTACAATGTACATACACATGGATGGACACTATTCTGCACTTTAGCATAGACGCAGGGAATCCAATACTACTGGGTGTCTTTTTCGGATTTTTCCAAGAATAAATACCTCAGAGTGATTTCGTATTTCTCTTTTCTTGAGGGGAGAGGTAATTAAACGTACTTGTTTCATAAGTGGAGTTTAACTCACCTAAATTCGCTAGCACCTCGGTAGTGTTGGCGGTTTCGTTTTGCCCGGGACTTCTTGAACTCCAGGTTCTACCTAGAGGCTCCATTCTGATCGCCTCGCTGCTCTCCTTCATACACGGCCCTCCTGGCATTCTGCTTCTACCCTTTCGTGTGTGTTTTTATCCGGTAAACTCGAATCCCTATTTCTCGTGACTGGATGAACATTAAATTCTTCAACGTTGACGCTGTCTTAGTACGGCACACTTTTCAGTCCCTCTTTCTTTTTTCTTTTTTTTATTCACGTGCATCAACTACTTGGAAGATTGTCGTACGACACGCAAGTTTCGTTCAATGGTTTGTCGAAAACTTTCATTATTTTACGCGGTAATACCTTTCTCGGTGCTATCTAATTTATTTTTATGTAGACGGATATCACAAAAGGCGAGAAATTCTGTGTCAATGGTCCCCGTCGAGATACGTTAATGGGCGAAGTAAACAAACGTAGCTCACAGCTGATAGAAAACGTCTTTCGTTGCATTATTCATATAAATGTCGCAGTCGATAGGATTGGTGCGTTAATTATAAAATGGTGTACCAACTACAAGTTCGTAAATCGTGGCTAGTTAAAAAAGGAATTTAACAGTACGTGTTGGTTATATTTTGAACAATTACGCGTTATTTATTTATGCAAACGACTAATTGTGGCTTTCTCCTACTTCAGTCATCGGCGCTGCGTTACTAACTCTCTTGTAAAGTACTTTCTCGTTCCAGATATTGTACCTGAAATAAAATATCACCTGACGTGCATTCGATAAAGATACAAGAAATTATTTGGAAACTGCTAATTTCAGTTTTTATGCCATTGTTTACTTTAATACGTCGCAACTATTGCACTTTTAATAGTTTCAAAAAAATGTTTTCTTACAGTATGAATAATATAGTTTATTCATCGGCTGTAATATACATATACAGTTTTCTACTTCAAGGTGGTAGTGTAACAATGTGTATAAAAAGTTATGGATTTTATTGGATTTATAATTATCCCACATGGTGAGCAGACATATAGGTCAGTGTAATTGAATATGTTCCACGGCGTTATTTTTGTAACATCGGCAAACAAGTTAATTATACGTGCCTTAATTTTTCTGGGATGTACGTCAGCTCATTTAAAGACTTTAAATACTTGGTATAAAAAGAAAAGTAAGTTGCATCGACACACAAAATTACTTAAACTCGAAAATGCGATTGTATCGGTTTTAGATAACAGTAATTGTTCCTAAAACGGTATTCGTTTGTTACGAACCATACCTTCATGTAAGCGATGGCAATTAGGTGGCAAACGTGCCAGATTTAGCACGCCAAAGATCGCCGGCGACACGCCAAAAAATTTAATGGGTTTGTTTGTTTTCATTTTGTATCAATGGAGTCATTGATAGCACTTTGAAACTTATAAAACGAACGAATTTGAGTAATTAATTTTTATATATGAGTTTAGATTATCGAATATGATCAAAACAATTGAAGAAAATTATTGCTCAAGTCTATAATTTTGTAATATTAATTATCGATGCATCTCACGATTAGTATGCATCTTTCTGACATACTGGAATATTTGTCTGGCATGCTGGCTCTAACGTCATTCGTAAATACCACGTTGCGTAAGGAAAAGTAGAGGATAGAAACAAACGAAGGCTACGAAGAAAATTATCTTTAATGTTCGGATGTTTTCTGCAATAAGCACGTTCAGACACGTCTAAAATTATACTTTACTGACTAAGGAATGCATAATAAATTGTTTAGAAGTAAATGTTTTTAAATTATAGAGTATCGAGCTCAAATATTTTCCCAGACGTCTCGGGCCGCAGAAATGAAAAATACTGTACTGAATCAAATTAGTCGCTTCATTCAGTCACGCTTAGAGAACCTTATTGTCGTTATTTGGCGAGCCCCTCGCATCTGCGAGACTATCGCACGACATAACAGGAAATGATTAGAGTGACGATAGCGAATTGCGAATATAGTTGGAACGATACTTAGATCGAGCAAGTACTTAAGGAGGGGAAACCACATTACGAGCATTAAGTGTCGAGTATTAAGTGTCTCGTGGGATATTTTCTTTTATGGAAAAGAATTTATGTTTTCATAACTTTGGAAGTATTTTAGGCTTGTTTCAGGATAGTTTTGGCAATTTTTTTAATTCACTTCTCACAAAAAATCTTTAAACTATGGCGTTTTATTAAAAAAAAATGTTGTTTTCAAATATTTACCCTTTGTTTATTCATTTCTCAGAAATGTAATATTTGTAATCTTGATCAATTTTGCTGGTGGTCTTTTATAATTATCGATGTATCCTTTGAACGTAGGATTCGTAGACTCGTAGACTCGTAGACTTTATCTTTCTTTGACAAACGAAAAAGATTTTCAACAAAGGAACAGAAGCAACGCACAACTTTCTCTACGATTCTCTAGTTCTTCGTGCTATTATATATAGGTGACAGATTTGTGTGCGCGTGTGGTACACGACCGTCGTGATAGAACGTTGACCCTGCCCAGTCTCGCGGTCGCGAAATGCCTCCGAATGAACGAACATAGCCAAACAAAAAAAGTACCATTTCAACGTAGATCTATCACGTGTAAAAATAAACTACTCCCCTCCTCATAAGCACTCTTGAATTCAAGTCTCTTCGATCACCTCATACCGACTTCAAATAAATGAATAAGTAATCAAATTGAACGAAAAAAATTGAGAAATAAAAATAAAATTATCGATACAGTGCGAATAAGGTTGGAAGAAGGACGGGGGCGTATATAAATTGGAAAAACTGACCTTCGTTGTTTTTTGACTGTTGCCTCCCAGCGAAGGAGCGGAGCAAACTCGAGGAGCCGGTGCCTCGCTGAGCCTACTCAAACATCGCGTCGGACCGGGCGAAGTGAAAACGGCGAGTCGTATCGGTTCTCGCGGTTGCACCAGCCGCGGTTGCATCGCCGTCGACTAATTAAACTTCACGGATCCGAGGTACGAGAGGCTGGGCTTTTCTCGAACGTGGAGAACCACCACCGTCGATGTAAGCGGTCGAACGGTGAGAATGGCACTGAGGGGAGTTTGAGAATCGAGCGTGGCTGAATTTCCGGACGCAGGGAGGCGCGGCGGTCAGAATCAGCCACAGGTTGCGCCCGCCTCGTTCACGCAGCCGGGGCATCTTGGCTGATCGCGAAAAGGGGAGGACACCCCTGTCGAAGCGACAGAAAGAGAAATCGATTAACTTAACATCTAGAGCCGTGCACGCTCTTATTCGACAGCCTGGACTAACGCGATTTCGATCGCTTTTCCTCGACCCTTTCACCCAACGGAGTACTACACCCCCAATTTCTCTGTGACAAACATTCAGAATGTTGTTCCAATTGTTCAATCTTTCTATAATATTCAAATAGAATATTCGAATTACCAAACCCTTTAGTAATTTCTTTAAATAATATTCGAATTGTCAAAGCCTTAAATAATATTTCAATTGGTACATTCAGATTGCTAAATCCTTCAATAATCTTCCGATTGCTAAAAGCTCCGGTCACTCAGCGTCTAGTCTATTGCGACCGCTACCGGGATCCACCCCACGGTAGACCACAGTTTCCATACCGTCACCACTTTCTTGTGTATATAATGAATATATCGAATTACAAAATTCCCAGATCTAACCCAGTCCAATCCTACCGCTGCTGGGAGGTGAGTCACCTCCTCGGTAGACCACAGTCACCAATGCTTCCTATGTGAGAGTATGAGCAGCCTATTGAGCACAGTTTGAAGAATAGAACCTGTGTCTACTGTTCTCGAAATTGGAACAAGAAGAATAGGCTCTTGCCGCTCAGTAGTTTCTAACTAAGGAAAAAAAAAATTGTGGTGGAATGTGCTGGAACACCAAGGAGCCAGTGACGTACCGAGGGTGGAGGGTAGCTGCAGATTGGGGTCTCAGTCATCTCTTGAGAAGGAAATCAGCGAGACCTGTGGCCCAACAGGCTCCATCCCACAACTGGGTGAACGAAGAAGTAAATATCCGAAATAATGTCAATTACAACGCAAACGCATTACCAGTCCTTCGGAAGTAGTCTAAAACGCAATTCTTTGTACAATCTTTATACACTTGTTGCTTTTAAATTGTGTGGTGAATTGCATCGTAATGGCGCGCAAGCATCAAGTGCGATTTCATACATCAAAGTTCCTAACTCAGAGAATGAAATAGAGATTGGAAGATGGCGTTCGGAATTCACCAGAAGATTTCCCGCCAGAAATCGTCCTCCAGCGCGCATCCCACCCGCACACTTTACGTAGTCCTGATCTTTCTTCTAAATGGTTCTAGCGTCCTTCTGAAATGACTTTTGTAGTTGAATATCACATTGACATTAAAAATTGCAATTCAATATAATATCATCATTACCATTGGTTATCGTTATTAAACCCTGTTCTTCAACTTTGATAAATGGTTACCTACGCCTATGATTATCATCAACTCTATGCGAGGGTAGCGCCACTGTGATCGTTTATGGCAATGAGAGTTTGCGTCAATCAATAAAGCAACGCATTTGGCACGGAGGCTCAACACGTATGCGCAGGACTAAAGCTCACCAAGAGTATTGGGCTTTAAGCAACTCTTCCATACAAAAATAATGTTAAAATACTTGAAACGTTTTAGTTCCAAGCATGGACATAGAAATATACTAATGATAAAACATACTAAAATTAGTTCACCGGAACGTAAGATTAATTGAACGATAGAAATGAGGCCTAAGTTTGAACAGCCAACAATCGTGTATGAACTAAAATAGTTGCCGAAGGAAAATTGTGAGCAAGTATAAACCATAGATTAAAATGGATATCTAATGCTAAAAATGTGATTACTTATGTATTTAAATGTTTTTAAAATTTGTAATATTGTTCTTTTGGGGTTTTTGCTCCTATATTCCTGTTTACTTTTGCTATATTCCTTTTCCTTGAAAAGGAAATCGTGTTTCAGCTTAGGTCCGCCAGAGGACTCGTTAGGACCATCTCTCCTCAAACATCGTAGGCGGCTTATAATATTACAAACTAGAGGGCGGCTTGTTTGGAACTTATATTTATAGAAACTAGAAAGTGGATTATAGAGCTTCTATTAATAAATCCGTCACTGTCAACGGTTCGTTCAACTATATTTTAACAGGTAATCGATAACATTGATCGGCCCAGATCAAGCAACCCTCTTACTTCAGCTGTGAACATCAGTAAGCTATGAAGACACCCTTTTCCATGGGGGAAACCCTGGAAAGACATCCACTGATAGTCCACTGGGATTCCCTGGCCAGTAGGATAGGGTTAAAGGTCACTAGACCGACACATTTGAAGGATCTTTTAGCAATTTTTTAAATAACACCACAACTCCATGATTAATCACTCACATTTCCAATAAGAAACCCCTTCATGGCTAAATCAAGCATTATATTCGATGTATCAACTCTTAATGTGTACTTTTGAGAAACATAAAATGGTAAAATTAAATGTTTTCGACGTTAGTGGATAGGAATGGTCGATGTATAATCACCTGAGACGAGTCAGAGATCATCAGTGGCGACCTTGGCCTCTGTGGTGGTCGAGCAACACATAACACAAGACACATAAGACATGGTAATGCCGGGCACGCGATCCAATGTGTATTAGTCGACTGCAAGGAAATCGTTGCGACAAATCCCTCTGCCGTTCCGCGTTCTTGTTTCAGAACAACATACAGAGTGAATTCATCTAAAAGAATACAAATGTATCTTGCTTTGAACAAATGCGAGAATATTGTTATGGGCGAATTTTTTGGAGATTTGGGAATCATAAATATTCTTTAATGAAATCACATATTTGCCTCATAAATAAATTAAACATGGATAACATGGATTGATTTTCTTGTTGAGTACTACATAAGAAATTTAAAAACTAGTGCAAGACATAACTTCACCCTTAAGAATATTAATACAGCTTCGAAAACAAGTAAACACTTGGAGAAAGCTTTGTGCATACCCTGTATATAAACTGACCAAGATTTATGCTCGTTGGAGTTCAACCACGCGTTGTAATTTGCACCTAGATCCCTGACGGAATCATACATTTCTCAATGACGACATCTTTTTTGCCACAAACATAGTCAGTTAGCCCGCTACGGTATCAGGCACGAATTCTGTGTAAGAGATTCGTATCAACACCTAATCAACGTTGAAATAGTATGCTAAATGACCGTGCGATGTCGTACAACCATAACAAGCGTCACCAAGGTTCTCCACCTCCATCTTGTCACCTTATATCGCCATTTTCTTCTTACTATTGAATCCTCAACAGCGGCGTTGCAACTGATGTAGATGGATCGTTAATTAAAATGGAATAACAGGCAGGATTGGAACGAGGAATAAATGTTTTACGAAATATTTAGGTAACGAATTTCTGGCAAAGAAAGTATATCAAAGAAAGGTTAGATTGTTGATTATCTCTCGCATCCCGCTGGCATCGAAATGGCAACAATTTATATCCCGTTGGCGCGCCCTGAGAGTAGTTAAGGTTTAACCTTCTACCTTTTGATTCGCTCTTCCCTCTACTATCGTTTCCTGTCCTACATTGACTCTTTCCAATACATAGCAATCTTCTAAATGTTCTAACACGCCTACTTTCTTATCTTCGAAACTTGCATCTCATAAGCTCTCCTCGTAATCGATATTCCCATCTTCTTAATTTATTACCATAGTACAACTTTCATTGTTACAATAATTTATAATGCATATATTACAGTTGGCTCGCAGATGTTGACATAACTTTGTAAAAAGTTCGAATGGCGCCATTGCATTGTACTTAATCCAGGATTTTTTAATTAATAAAAACAGTAGCTATTACATTTATTATTGCATTTATTTTGCCCATAAAGGTTTGCTAATTTTCAATTAATGTTCATATTAATTTGTGTAAGTTCATCAGCAGTAAGAGTATTGGCAGTAATCCTCCTGAAATGTTCCTGATAGTAGATGCACCTGAATCGATTCCTTCGAAGAAATAAAAAAAAAAAAAAAATATATATATAAGAATAAGAAAAAAACCTCTTCATGGTAATAGTCTGCTTTGGATTGGTTGTGTCGCCTTGCAGATACTCTTTATCGGCATTCGCGATCGTAAGAATGGCAACGCAACTTCTGAAGCGACATGCGACCAGTCGAGACGTAATTGCAAGCACATTACCTTGCCGCATTAGAGTTTCCTACGCGACTCAAAAAACTGCTACTTAAAGTTTCGACCTCTCAAAATCAAATGCAAGGAAGCCTTTCGATCGGTCACGAGTCAAGGTCACTTACCGTTAAAGTAAGCTTGCTTGTTCGGACTTATTTCGCACACAGTCGCGTTTATTCGAATGTAGCCCCAATCGCATGCGCAGAGCCCATTCTTGCAGACTACACGATCTATGTTGGAATCCAGATAACATACCCCAAGATTCGTACATTTTTCACCGAGAACTGAAAGAAACAAATCAATTTCAACATTTCTTTTGGCTTCACTTGAACATCTGTGCCAGCAATTTTCCCATTTCCCTTTTTGGGCGCTTATGAGAGATCGTTATACATGATTCTGGTTGTTAAGGAATTTCATGACGATATTATTGTGAAATTCTGGATCTTGAAATCCCTTTAAAGAATGATTTTGAAAAAAAATTGTCCCACCTTACGTGTACCCCTTGAAACAGTGTAACTTTGTTCTATGTATTTCAAGTTTCTACATCCTCACCTTTACGTTGATAACAGTTATCGAATTTATGATGATAGCCTTCGGCACAGGTGCAAGTTTTGTTTAAACCATCATCTGAACAAATTGCGTTGGGCACTGTGTCAGAGCACTGGATGTCCTTTTCGCAAGGTTTTCCAAAGGACGCAACTGAAACCATGAAACCATTATTTCATTTTTTCAATTTGTATGCGATTAACAGTACGCATGTATGAATTTACATGAAATGTATATTAAACAGACAACTATTGAATACAACGAAATTGTATTCACTTTTAATATTACTAACAATATAATTCTATATTGTTTGTAATACTACAGGTTTAAAACTTACGTGGCAGACATGTGTCAATTGAGACAGCAACATAATTTTTCTGGCAAGTGCAACGATTTGATTTGCATTCCGTGTTTTCAAGGGGACAATCCTTATTTGTCGTACAGTTAGAATCGATAGCTTTAATAGGAAATATACTAATATTATAAACGTAGTATTTGATAGAAGAAAATTGAAAATAAATATAGGATCGATTTTAAAGAAAATCTTTTCGAATTGCAATTTCTCACCTCCTATCACAATTTTCTCACAAGCTGTTCGTTCAGAATTTTGCTTAGTTCCTTGAGGACAGGTGCAAACATTTTGTGTGCATGTTGGCTTAGCACTCGTCTCATCGACATAACAATCCATTGCGTTTTTACATGTTTCACCGAGTTTCTTCTTCACCCAACAGAACATTTGAGATTCGATAAACTGCGAATTCTCGTTGCAAACACATTTGTCCTCTGAACAAATTGCATCCGGCCCAAAAATGTAGCATTGGTTATCAAAGCGACAAGAAAACATGTACTTCATAGTTGCTGTAATATGTTCGAAAAATTATTTTTATTAATAATTTGGTTTCTAAACAAAGCAATATCATTTGTATGTTACTGCAGCTGCATATTGCATACCTTTTAAGCACTCTTTATTATCGTAAGAAGCAACTCGTTGTGGTTCACAATTCCATACACCGTTTTCACATACCGAAAACTCAATCTCAGGTTTATCGTTAACATCGCATGGTTCTCCAAGCTCTGGAAAAATATTTATGTCGTTTATATTAATAAATGCAAATTTTATTAATATTAATATGAGTACTGATACGAAGCAACGAGGAGGAACAATTATTTTTAATTTACCTGGGACACACTCTTCTGTACTGTTATTCTTATTGAAAAAGTACGCACGTTTGCAAACACATGTTTTCAGAGGACCACATATGGCATTTTTCAAATCCTTGCAATCTGTGTCTACTTTACAAACTTTGTCAATGGTAAATACTATTGGAAAAAAATATAATTTTTACTTTATATAGCTGGAAAAAATTTCTTAAACCTTTTCTAACTATAAGGTTTAATAATTAAATACCATATTACAAACCTGATTTATCTGTAGAGTTCTCGTGAACAACGTTATTGTCTTCTAAAAATTGTAATGTAGTATTTCCTGCACTTGGAAGAGTGCACTTAAAATCATCACAGTGTGCAGTACTGTTAAATGTGCAATCGTTGTTTATCACGCATTTATCACCAACTTCTGTACAATACAAAAATTTAAAAATATTATTGTTACTGGCAATAGCGAAAATATTAATTTCTTAGTCAGAAATGATCTTAACTCCTCTTTGAAAGTCATATTGTCCTGTTTTCGGAAAGAAGTTCAACTTACTGTTTCCTTCTGGACGACACGTTCTGTATTCTCGTTGATAAAATCCAAGTGCGCATGCACAAATTCCATTTTGACAAATTGATGCCCCGAAAACTGAATTCACGTAACAATCAGAGTCCTTGAGACATGTTGCATGTAATCCTGCGAAAAGGAAAATCTCTTCGTGAAAAATCTGGCAAAAAAATATTATTTACGAAATTGTTTAACGCTCGAAATACCTCTATACAAATTACATTTTCCATGCAAATAGTAATATCTTTTAGCACACACACAGACATTATTTTCACAAATTCCACCACTGTATAAATGTCTAGAGCACTGTACTGATTCAGTGCAATTATCGCCGTAAGTAGTAGCCACTGTTAATATTCCAGAAATGGATTTCATGTATCAATTACCATAGTCAAATTTGATTCGATTAATTTGATCTTTCATTAAATGATCATATTTAAACGAATATTGTTTTGTATCCTACCTTTAATGCACGACGTTAAACTTCCATTGAAATCATATCCTCCTTGACACTGACATACGTTCTTGACACAACTACTATTACTTACGGTGCAATCAAAATTAGTTTCGCATTTCCAAATATCCATGGATTCTGTTTGAATAGCAACGTTTCCCTCTGACAATTTCGTATTAAACGCAGATCCTAATGTTTATAAAAATTACTTTATATTGTACGAAGAGAGATGAAAATATATATGTAAATATTCACATACCTTTGGTAAAGGAACACTGCGTGATAAATAAGAAACAAAGTATGATATTTTGTGTTCGGGACATGTTTGCCACGAAAGATTCTAATTGATGTAGACAAACTTGTGAAGTGATGCTCATCTACGATTTTTATCAAGCGGCCCATATCTGATAGCAAATGAACACCTGCATCGCTATCAATGTATCTATCAATATATCAGAAAAAAGGAATGTTGTCGGAATCTTACAGTTTTTTGTATATCGAACTGTCGAAAATAAAAAATTGCTCCATAAACAATAATTAATGTGTGCAACAAATAATGAGGAAAAATAAATCGTGGATATAGAAAAAGTAAAAAAAGTTCAGCATGTACCGTGTAAATTTAAATCAAAGAATATTTATTGTGCATAAGTTCTCTCCTGAACCTCTATTTAGTTACTGCACGCATATTTTTAATTACGTATAGCACTCATAAAGCTTACCATTCTATGACAAAATCATGTCACAGAATAATTAATACATCATTTACAAAGCTGCGCATTGACCTTGAACTTATTTATGCTAATATATAACGATTTACACCAGAGTTAGTGTGATAACGTTTCTATATGTTGGCTAATAGGTAATTACAATTGGTTGGTCGGCGATTACGAAGTGGTGAAGTAGGTCAGTCTTACCATGTATTTGAAAGAGATGCTTATCAAATAACGCACAGAACCCTTACAACGTTTTATGATGTGCTATAAATTGATTACCTTCACAGGGAAGTAAGTGGGGTATTTGCATTTTGCGTCAGACCAACTGTGGAGAGAATTTGATTAAATAAAACGTGGTTTGTAATTTGACGGTGATTTGATTAAATATTAGGATCTATTTAAAAGATCGCGATGAACGTCATCCAACTATAACACACTGATTTCGATGAAATTTGGTATAGAGGTAGAGAATTAAAAAATATTATACAAGTATTTTATTATTTCGACTGATGATATTTATGTTCTAGTGTCCGTATCAGACATGGGATCCGCCAACAAGTATGTCTCACAGGAGAGACTTCTGATCCGGAGCGTACCATAATAGACAGATGCGTGTTGCCACGCAAGTCAGTGGTCAGTGGTCAGTGGTCAGCTGTGGTCATCCCCGGCCATCCTTAGTTCAACGTTGGTCAGGATCTCCTCATCCCTCGAAGATTCCGGGCAGAGTGAACGATTGCATACTTGTCAAAAGAGGAGGGCATTTAGAGACAGAGTAACAGATCGTCAGTTCATCTGAATGACCGCTGAATAAATCGAAGCAAGAATTCGTAAAATATTAATATTACAACACAAAATTATATTTTCGATCATTGTTTAAACAAATATCGTTAATGATTAATTTAACTATCGTCAGAAATTAATTTTGAGTTATTGCAGTTAATGTATATAAATGGATATTGGCAGGCACAAGGAAAACTATGAAATCTTTTAATTTACCCTAATAGCTGTTCATGTGATGCAATTTAAGTACATTTTTATTATTTATACCTCACTTTATATGACATTTCCAAATTTCTTGTTCTTTAGTGGCATTTCCATTACTTCCAAACAGCAGGATGAATTAACTACACGCTGACCTTATACTGTTAATTCTGGAAGACACGCAATATTAGACTCTGATGATTCGATTACGAGTGTGCATAAATGATCGACTAACCAACTATCGCATTCATGAAGACGTAACTATTCTATTCGTAAAACACATGTTTAATGAACCGTATCATGAATATTCATGACCCATTCTTAATAATTGTCTATTAAAAATAGTATCAAATATTTCTTTTAAAAGTAGTGCCAACTGTTACGAAATCTTCGTGATATGTCAACAGCTTTGCCCAAATTGCTGCTTGAAGATGGTTCGACACGCTTAGCGTGCAGAAACACGTACTCTAACACACTTGATCCATGTAATCACACGACAACCGAAGGAACAAGTCTTCAAGTCAAAAGCTGTTTATTTTTCAGTGGTAACATATGTTCGAGTGGTTTATTGCCGTAAGAAAAACTATTTATACCTTCGGTGACGACATCACTTTGCAACAGAATCTCCTTCGGAGAATCCAGAATCACTTAATAATTGTTCAACTTTTTCTTGAATGAATCGCTCCGTAATTAGATTAATAACCCTAGACGGTAAGCTGGATATTAAGTAGAGGCTGATTTTCGAGTGGATATGGGAGCTATATGACCGTTAAGGTTACGTGACTTGTGCAAAACGAAACACAGGTTATCGTGAACAATTTCCCTCGAGACAGTGATCGACTTGTGATTTTTCACACATTCATCACAGTTTTTGTATATTGTATCAAGAGTTTAAATATATTTTTACTAAAATTATCATTAAATTAAATATTAAACGCGAGTAATATATCAACTAGCTTCATAATCCGAAACGAAACATAGACTTTGAACAAAGCATTTGTTTGTTTGTAGTACATAACAACAAAAGGTCAGACTCCAACTTATCTTTGTTGAATATTTCTAGACATTTATCACAAAAAATTTCCTTTCGGAGAAAGTAGTAAATATATTTGCAATATTGGAAATGGCACACTACAATATTCCATATTTGTTAAATAAATGGGAATGCAGTAAAACTACTTTTCTATAACGTAAACTATGTCATATTTGTACATTATGAAAATCCTTGACGTTGAGCGTAAAAAGTGATCGATTAGGCGTGGAATGACCCATATACTCAAGTATTCTTTTAGTTATACTTAGGAACAGGTAACGATTGAAGAAACCGCCTACACTATATGTATAGTTTTCCTGGGAAACGAGTACAGCAGTTAGAATAATTCCAACACGCATTTTGGAAGGGTAACGTCGTTCCCGAACCACTTCTTTTCCATGAAAGTAATAAAAATAGTAGTTCTAAACTCGGTAGTTTTCTAAAGAAAATAACTCCGTTTCGTGTTAGGCGAAGGCTTTTATTACTCCTTGTGAAACGTTCGAATGCGTAAGTTCGTGAGTCCCACGAGAGCATTTTTAGCGAATTTGTCAATTTGCAAAATAAAAGAAAATTGCGTGAATATTTTCATTATTTTAGAGACTCTAAGGTACACTAATAAAATGCCTTCTTTATAAATTTATAAAAAAAAGTGGAAATTGTTGTAATTGCTAGTAGTAAACAACGCTATTTATTATCTTACATTATTCCCAATAAATTAAAGTAATATCTACATGTTCATTTACAATAGTTTTTTAATAACTATAATATCGACTAGATATGGAAAATTGTTATCTAATAGACTCGGATGAGAACTATTGGAGAAGATTTATATGTATAAGGGAAGGTTAAAGTATGTCTGAACAAATGTAACTTGGGATGGTTTATTTCAATGTAAGATTGCTATACATCTCTTAGGCCACATCCTGCGATCGAAACTTGAAGGAATCAAAGCATACTCCGATTCTTCGGCGGCGTGTAGGCCAACCACGTTTTAATGTAGGGTGCTACTTCGGTAGATGGTGGTGGCAGCACATGGGAGTCGGAAGTGGGGGGTGGGGTTACTTTAAAGGCTTAAAAGGCCTTCCAACGTCCTTGTAACACGCAGTTCTCGAATAGAGCGTAAAAGCAAACAGTTTGAGGAACAACTACCCCGAAAGTGCGACGAAACCCTTGCCTAAATATTTTTTTTTATTATCACTGATAACTGCAACAGTAACAGTAACTTAGATATCAGTGTATATCGAAACAGTTGAAGAAGATCCTGTGAAATCCTTGAATTTGTTCTGGTAACAGATTTTCAAAGAAAGAGGAAGTGCCTTCTGTCTTCAATTACGTAGTAATTTTACAAGCTTCTTAATCGAGTGGTTAGTGTACAGTTTGAGTGGCATATCTTTGAAAGGTCAGTGCAACAAGTAAACTCATAAGAAATGAAAAAGGGAAGAAGCTCACACATACTTGCGACGTTCCTTTTACTGGTGTATTTTGTATCGCCATCCTCCACTTGGGCGCTCACCACCTTTGGCAAAACTAATCCACAGAATCAAAATCAAAACCCACCACCACCCCCTACGCCAGGTTTGTTACGCTTAGTTTGATCAAATTTGTTAATTAGAATAAAATTTCTTTCAATGCAAGCAATGAATTTCTTCATACATTTATTTATTGGAACATATATATATATATATATATATATATATATATAATAATAAAATAAAAATAAAATTTAAAAAAATACTGATAAATATGAAAAAAGCAAAAATCATTATTTACGCATTCTAAAAGTGTACGAAATACTGCTGGTCGTCAACGGAAACTCTCCAACTTCACCGTCGCTCGGTTGTTAATTTTAGATACTTCGCAAAAACCAAAGAAAAAAATAGCTTCGAAAATAATATTGACTTTGGGCAACCTACGAAGATAGCAGAAAGCTCTCTACTCTTTGTGATGGAACCCGTTTAACTCTGTCCTGTATTTCTGGGAACAGTAAAGTTTAAGAAAAATATATGCATAATGTAAAAAAACATTACAACAAATATGAAATAGAAATTTCTTATATAAAAAATACTATAACAAAGTACTGATTTTTAATATAAATTTGTTGTGTGAATAAACACGTACAGCTACGTTAACTATTCGTCCAAATTGTATTAAATTAGATTGATGTGATTTTTAATTACAGTTGGGAAGGCTCGCGAATGCAAATTAGAGTCTGATTGCGCTGGTATACAAAACACAACATGTGTGTCAGACCCTCGAGATGGAAAAACTCGTTGCTTGTGCGGCGATTATTCTGCACCTCAAAATGGCGCGTGCACCAACAAATTCAAAGGTAATTCAATTTTTTAAAATAGATAATCGCGTTTCTTTTAAATTCTTTTTCGAAACGCATTGGGTGTCGAAACATACCAGTAAGCATTTCAGTAAACAGTTTTATTTAGAAACATTTCGCTTCAGTTTTAAAGAGAAAACAACGACAAGGAAGACTTTCGTAAAAAAAAATTGAATGCCGTAAGGCACAAGCAACTAACATTTGCATATACTCACGTGTTTGCTTGCAATATGTGAACGTATGACGGTGTTGGAACTTGGTCTATGATTATCTATGCAAATTGGAAAGCTTTAAGGGTATCGTTGCGGCTTGCCATATACATAGCACCCCTTTCCTCGTATTTTGAAGTATACACAAGCTTAGAAAACGAATATGTCTTAAATAAATATTGTATATAGATCGTTTAAAGACTAGTGTCAACGTATAAATAATAATGTGGATAATTTTAATAGTAATAAGTTCAATGTATAACGTGAAACCTTGATACAAATAATTCGAGAATGTAATAGTATCATTTGATTACAAGAAAATCTTAAACAGTATTTCTTGTATTAAGACTATTCAAGTTTAACCAATTCTGCGCAAAATTATACATATATTGTCGCATAGGTGAAAATTGATCGACCGCTAAAAGTCATGTCGAGATCAGATTTGCGTGAAAGTGCGTGTCTGAGTGAAATTAAAACGCACCGAACTTCAGCGAGAATTAGGCACATTTGGCATACAGTGACTTTTTGTATTTATTACACGACTTAAAGAAATTTCTGACGTAAGAATGCTCTGTTGTATTCAGGTTGAAGGCTAAGGTGACCTTTTACAGAAAAAAACTGTTGATTTCTCCCTTTAGGAAAATCTATCATTCACCCCATTCATGACTGATTGTAGCGTTGAAAATGTTTTATAATTAATTAATGCATTCATAATAACCAGGCTGTTCATTTTTAGCATTGCGTACTCTATGCAACGACGATTCTGAATGCGTAGATGGTGCTAGTTGCACACTACTCGCCAATAGCACGTCTGGAAAACGTTGTTATTGTCGAGATGGATATTACGAAGAAAGTCCTTTACTTTGTAATGGTGTGTATCTTCTAAAAAGGAAGTCGACTTATTATTTCTATGTTATAAAATTATGATTCTATTTTTTTATATTTAACTAGTATTACTCAAGCCTTACAACAATGAATGTTGTGTATTCTTTTCCACAGGAAGTGCAGCCATCTTTACATTTCATACGACAATTCTATTAGCAATTCTAAGTCTCATAAAGGGAAACGTTAGTTTCTTAAATACGTTATAAAATTTCCATATATTAATGAGAAAAATATTATGAAATATTAATTTACTTGAAATTATATATATATATATATATACATATATTGTATATATATAGACATACATGCTAATTCTTTCAAAATATCAATCGACTAAAACTACGATACTGTATTTATCGATAAACGTGGCGAAATTAATACGATCACACAAAGCCATATACTTTTTAGGTAATATTTTATGTGCTTATCTTTCGCCTCAATTAATCATTCTATCCAATTAAGTATACTTTCTATTGGAATTCGGCATGTATATTTAATATTTTAACATTTCAATAAAAATTGAAAATATTTAAATGAAGAAACGAAAATTCTTGCACGAATTAGCCAAATATAAAATTGCGAACTTAAAATTTCACCAGTGATCGTACTGATTAGGCCTCGTCAGTAAAAACTTGTTACTCTTAAACAACAATATTGTACTAACAATACGAGTAACTGTAACAACATGAGATTATGCTTATTCAGCGCAACTAACCGTACACTATTAACATACGTAGGAAGTATACGTGGAAAGTATAACATTATTTATAACTAAAATCATAATGTTGTATCATAGATGAATATTTTACTCGTGAACAATTTCCTCTTAAAATATTATAGCGAGTTTTATGTGAATTTTAACACAATTTCAATTCATACAATCTATCGTTATTTAGTACAATTATACAAATTTACTCTCAATATTTAAATTTTTATACAGATATATGTAGTTATTACACTATATGTAGAATGAGGTCATATGACAACTTCAAATAAATATTGTGGTTATATACAAATATAATTTAGTTTTGCATTAGTTTCAATGAAAGAATGAATATTTGTATAGAATTATCTGTTTGTTAAATTATTCGGATTAGTGTTTAAGTATGCATATGTTTACCTTATTTCAACAATAAGAAATTCCATAGGATGAGACACAAGTATCATTTACAAAAAAAGAAACAAATTATGTATATTAGGTGACCAAAGGTATCATAGCGAAAAGTAGAAGATATTTTTCTTAATCCAACAATACTGATTACGATATATAGTAATAAATTATTAAATCCTTTGACAGGAAATATGTACGTGTAAACGCGATGGTGTCTCAAGAAATACTTTGTTTTTAATTATATGTTACATATATTATAAATTATAATTATTAAACATATATACATGCAACGTTCTTATATGCCAATGACTCAATTATCAACATGACTGTATAAAACAAGATATGTAATAATTATATAGAAATAATTTACACTAATTCGAAAATCTATCAGCACACGAAGCCGCAGGAGCGCTTATTTTTAGCTATAATGCATTTTATAACGTTTGTAACTCGATAACAGTACAATAGTAAAGTGTATAATTTATCTCCACTATACAAACTTGTTACTGATACAAACAATTTCTGCACAATTAAATTAGAATTCCTTTTGGATACTGTTGCGTTTTGAAAAATCATGTTCATAAATTATTTATAACGGTAGTTTCGTTTATTTTTTTCTACAAAAGTAATTTGATTATTTTAGACAAACAAAATGCAATAAATAAATTAAACTCGCTGCAATGGCTTTTCTAAAATATTTTATTTAGCGCTATAATCCGCGCAGAGTGTTTTTCGGGGAGCGCCAAATAGGTGTGCACTTCCATAAGTAGGAAACAATTAGACTTGGTAGTAAACAAAATATTATGCAATTAATTCTTTTATTTGTTATTTCTTTTGGAAGATCAATTGTGTTACAGCGTTTCCGGTTTGTCCTCCAAACTGGAATGTATCAGAGGGCAGCGTGTGTAATACATCAAAATCTGAAACATGTATTTTAATAATATTGTGGAATATAATCATATGAAACTGTTGGAAATTGGGAAACTCTGAAAACAATAAAATAACATACGATTTTGAAAATGTTTCTTTAATTCCTCTTTGGTCCAATTGCAAGATGTAAGAACTAAATAACCATCGGGCAACAGAATTTTATACACATTTTCTATGTACTTCTGCCTTTTGATTGCAGGATCTTGAGGATGCAAACTGATAGCATCATATGTTCCTTTATCATGTACTACTTTAAAATCAGTTGGTAAATCACATACTTCAGAATCAAGTATATCATAAACTTTCAAGTCTATATGTGATAGATTTTTTTCCTTGAGTATTTCATATGCTAAATCAATTGCCTTCTGCGAATAATCTACACCCATTAGTTTATCAAACTCTTTTGATAGTTCCACTAATGTCATTCCATTCCCACACCCTATATCAATTATTTTATCCTCTTTTTTATTAAGCTTCAGATGGTTAATAATCCAGCTGAAATATAAGGAGTACTAAAAACTACATAAATAGCGTTTATTTATTTGTTTTATAAATAACTGACCTTATAACTTTCAGTGAATTATTTCTACCAAACCATATCTCCCCTACATCCCCATGATCCTTAAAATTATCAAGTTCTTCAGAGTAAACTCTTTCCCAACTATAAGAAGCATTTGTAGAACGTGATGTTCACAAATTGTTTTGCAATTAAGCACATATACAGTAAGTGTTACTTACTAATCGAGAGTACCTAAATCTGATGGATCCAGTTCTTCGATATTCTCATCTGTCATGATTATACGTCAATTTTTAAGCCTATATTACAACCACGTTATGAGGAACTTCTTCAACAAGTAAATATAACCTTACTTCGAAATGTTTACGCAGTTTTAAATGCCCACATGGCTACATGTTCCCATTGTTATTGCTTAGATGCCGCCACAAATCAGAGACCATTAGTGGCGCAATCGGTGGGAAAACGATTCAATTGCATATTGTTAACATTTTGCATATAAAGAATGGACCTTGGTTCTCGTGGAAGACAGTATAGATCATTAGCAACATTCAAGAACCGAAATTTGTAAATAATC